GTCTCGAAATATTTTAGCGTCGCATATTCAAACATGTTATCTGAAATCTACGGTACAAGATTATCGGTCGACACTTTGTGTTGATTCGATGGTGTTCCAGTGTTATGCACTTAATCTTTGCTATCATCAGTGGCAGACAGCTATGTCGTCCTAAAGTTCTTCTAAACGACGAAGACACCTCTCTTTTTGAGCTGCATCATGATGTAATCGGAAATTGTTATTGCACTGTTCGACGTTCTTGTTACGCAGCAATTTATTGTGAAAGACGAGAGACCAATAAAAAGAAACTGATTGACGTGTTGAGTGCGGATTTTTTGAGTTGATTGCTACAGTTTTTACAGTTTTAGTGTGAAAATTTTGTTAGGAAAACATTTTGTGCAACACATTGAAGCGGAGACCAAAAAACCAAAAAACATTGACCGGAACGTTCCACGTTGATCATGAACTGACATGTCAACTCATATTCAGTTGCCCATCATGAAACACGTACAACAATGCAATGCAATCGCATTTTGAGTGTATGCCTGACGGTTATTTTTGATTGTCACATTCTCGTTCATCATCTTTGAAAACCACAATCAATAAGACAAGCATCGTCTCAAATCTTATCTTCATCATTCTCATGCGTATCCAAGCGATCTTTTGCGTACATGCTGAGTTAATACCAGTCATTTGTGCGATCAGCAATTACGGCTGATCAAAACTTTTTGTCTCCTTGCTATCATCTTCATTACAAATGTTGTACCTCTCTTTTAGTAATGTTTTTCTTTCCATACGACCGAGGATATTCTCCATGAAATTGCTAACCTTGATCGTTAAGACGGCCATCACAGTGGCGTGAAAACAGTCGTATGTGGAGACGAAATTTGTGCTCATTTCAATAAATACCATAATGAATGCATGCTTCTCTACGTGAGCAATTATTTAGTTAATCAGCAATTTCAATTCAGTACGAGTTTATGCCTCTGTGTTATCACCGATATTACTAATATCATGTTCTTCCTTCCTTGATGTCTTTCTTTCCGCGCAGCTAATGATAATAGCGCTGGAAATCACCTTTCTTCATGATATTTTAAATTCCGTTATTGATCTGTGAGCATTATTCCTACAAATTTTGCCAGCAGACACACCAAGGAAGATTGCTTCACATGGGAAGTAAAACGCAATTTTTTAGGATTTTTCGTAAATTTTCCGTGATTACGCTAGACACTTCAATTATTTTTTAGAAAATTATCATTAATCACGTATTTTTTTGCCCTAAAACTCTTTCGTGCCAAAAAAAAGTTGCCCAGGAATTTTAACTATGATGTGCAGTTTTAACGAGAACCTGTTAAACTGGTGCAGTGAAATTTGATGTCTTAGGAACGAAATGTTCCTTAAAGGGATGAAAATTAACCAAAGAGGAAGTTGTTCGCAATGTCNGGGTCGAACCGAATCGAGGCATTTGAACGCTCAATGAAATTCACTGCAACTGTTTTGAACGCCCAACACTGTCATTTTTTTGTAATTTTATCCCCTCGGATTTTCCATCTCAAGAGCTAACCACTCCAAAGTGCAAGACTGTTGAACGGTGACTGAAGTTCCCGAAAGGATGATCTCATTCCTACAGTGGAACCCAAATAAATGACTTTTGTTGCTCCTGTCTAACAATAAGTGACAGTTCCAGATGCAATTGCTCACCTACTCTTAGAATAATGAACGGTTAGGGGAGAGGAATGTTCGTTTTTTGATGTAGCACGAGCGAGTCAGGAGGGATTTTTGAGTGGACTAGCGGCGAATCATGAGAAATTGCTTAAGCGATGCTGGCAGTATTTCAGAGATGTCCAGGATTGCGCCAGAAGATCTAGACGCAACAGCTACGATGGCTTGGAGCCGTATGGCTTCATGCTCCGTAGATGAGACCGATGGAGAGGAACAGAAGAAAGATCACGCGCTAAAACTGGACTGGTTCACGCATAAGATTCGAATATTATTCACGGTTCGAATGTTTACCGCCGCCCTGATGTGTCTATGCTTTATAGCACTTTCAATAACAACCTCAAATCTTGCCGGTACAATGGTCTGTATGTTCGCACCCAAACCTGAAGCACCCATGCGTGTCAAAAGGTAGCTTTGCCATCTGAAAGTTCGAATCAACTAACTTAATTATCTTTGAACGAAGCATTTGAACTCCAGCGGACAATTAAATTCTATTTTCTAATAGCTCAGGTTATATGCTGTGAGGATACCATAAGAACTTAACAATTTCATTCCTCAAAGTTCAGAGTGCTAATGAATCTAACAAAGTCATAATGTGAAATATGGTAGCATTGCCCTGACACTGCTAACCGAATGCTTAGAATGCTTAAAGTAGCACTGGTCACACATTTATGTAATGCAAAGCTGGAAACCCTTTCAATTTTAAGCAAAGGTTTCTGATTATGAAACATAAACAATTCTTCCATGAGATACTTATAGTACATAGAAAGTTTCTTTGACAATATTTCAGATTCATGAACGAATCGAGAGCGAAACAATATTTCGTTGAGGACTTGATAGGAAAGCTGGCTAATGAGACGAACGAGTGGAAAAATGAATCACTGCTGCAAACTTGTGAGTGGTCAATGATCACGAATGCAATTGATCGTTATCCAGCAGAATCTGATGATGGAAGCGCTCTTGACACACTGCAACAATACGAATCCAGAAATCTCGCTAGGCGGTTGAGCAGTCAAATTGAAATGCGTCCTTGCCGTGAGGAAGATCCAACGTTGGAATGGACGTCCTTACAGAAAGGTAGTTAGCATCTGTCAG